TGTATTAAAAATTAATCAGAGGCAGATCCAGGATTTTTTCTTAGAAGGGGGTGCACTACTAAGGAATGGTGTAACATTAACTGAAGGGTGTTGTAAACAATTTTTTTTGGAATTCAAAGTACCAATTATAATATCCATCTATCTATCTATCTATCTATCTATCTATCTATCTATCTATCTATCTATCTATCTATCTATCTATCTATCTATCTAGAGAGGGCTTTATTGTTTGAAAGTTGGCATAAAAAAGTTTACTGGTTGTCATGACGATTTTGTCGGTAAACATCTCTCAAACAAACCCGAGCTTAAAGTGCTAATGTTCTGGGGGAAACTATGTCAGCGATATGAAGAGCGTGTGCATTTTTGACACAATTTACGATTAATTACAGAGTATACAATAAGATAATCCCGAAAACTAAATGCTCTTTTGACAAACGGGCTTATGAAATTTTAAATGCCTCTCTACAGTCCTGGAAAAGAACAATTCCATGAAAGCTTTGCTATTGTTCGCGCCATTCTGGTTTCTAATTGACCCCAACAAAAGTATCTCCATATTAGGAAAAACGTCAATAATGAGTTGTAGCAATTTGACCAATCATATCTTCCAGACGCGAGCGTCGCTTTCCCAAGCGCGTTCGGTTGTTGTGTTACTGCAGCGCTCGATTGCCTTTTGTAGTTTTGACATGTACACAAGGACCAGGTAATCACGATAGATCATTTAGGCTAACACTCAGCTGGGTGTCGCTTGATTTCCTCTCCAGAACTCAGCGCTCGAAAGTCAGATCTGATGAGTACTATAACGAAAGATCTTGGAGAGAGTTATCTGCAAGGTGGAGAACTTCTCGGAGAGTTGGACGAGGACAGCGATAGCGACAGCTTGCTGGCGGACGAATTAAGAGGAATGTATCGGAACAGGCTCAAAGACGTGGAAGAAATAGGGGAGAAAAGGGAAGAGGCGCACAGGGTAAGATCGGTGTGATCTTTAGCGACATCGACTCGTTGGAGTGTAAACAATGAGATCGATATTCGATCTCTCGCGGTAAAATTTTAAAATGTTGATCAATCGAACACGCTAACTTTAATTTATAAGCAATTTCGAGGAAGAAGGAAAATCTGAATATTTCAAAATGGGCAGCTGATTACAATATTAGTGATACAATTGCGCTTAAACCAGCTTTTCATTCTTATTTTTTACAAAATTTTATCTTGCATCCGGTTCATGTCGTTAGGCCGTTAGCCATTTGCAAACCACATGAATGATATCGGCCAGCGGTTCATTCGAACTTCATCTACGAGCGAAAAGTGCTTCTGGTTTCCATTTACCTCATCCAATATTAATTTTTTTGGGACCATTAGATGTTTATTCCTTCGTAGAAACTCGTAAGACTTCCATAAACTGATAGAACTCTGTACGAGTTGAAAGCTGCTGTTTTGTTTACATAGTAAAATGTAGCGTTTTAGTCACCGAGGCATGCATGTGAGCACTGAGAATTTTTGACGGGAAAATTGATGGCTGCGGATGTAAGCAGCAGTTTGATACTTTTTTAAAAGCTTAGCTTAATTTTTTTGTCTCCTATTATGAACATTTATGCTTTTAATGTGAATGCAATAGGCTGTTTTATTTATTTATTTTTTTTTTGCTTTTCCATCTATGAAGGTCATTCTTTGTGAAAGATCTACGAAATGCTTAGTTTGTTTACTGAGATCTAGATGTATATGTATATTTGTCTGTGAGCTTGTTCCTAATTCTTGCTAAGGTGTTAAGTCTCAGGTTATTAGTTACTGCATGTAGCTTTTTGTAACTTTGGCGTTACGATTTTCAAACGTGATGTTCAATTGATCTGACAGCAGGCAGTTTTGCTAAAATTGTACAGTTGAAGAAATTATGTTTCTTACACTTTACATCGACTTTTATCAGCTAAGTGATAATCTGGTGAAATTGCTTAAACAAATAAAAAGGAGCCCCCAGTTTTGGTTGAAAGCATCAGAAAGATTTCCATATAACCCCATATGTTAATTATGCATTCCATTTCATAAAGACTTAATATAAAGGTTTCTTTGCAACACTCTATGCATAATTAGTATAATTTCAGAGCTCAACAAAGAGTTTCCAGCAATCTGAATGGTCGAGCGGTTCCTTATATGATGCTAGATAAACCGCTCCGCATGGTTTATATAAAATATTAAACTAAAATGTTAATAAATGTTACTAAAATGTTATGATTTTAGAAATTTCTCCATTGTTCAGCTCTGAAATTATACTAAAACAATCATTCGCCTCAGGTTCGGTGAATGTTGTCAAATAATCCCCTCGACTTTGTCTCGGGGATTATTTGACGATATTCACCTCGCCTTCGGCGAATAATTGTTAATTAATGTATGGGGTTATATGGAAATCTTGCCACATCATCTAAAAAGAATTACTTGCTAAAAAAACTATAAACTATATTGCAATATAAAATTATATAAATATAAAACTATATAAAATATAAAACTATATTGCAATTTTGTCAATCTGATGGAATATAAATTAACTTCAACATATTTTGCAGCATCAACTTCAGTCCCTGCAGTCCTATGTGAATGAGCTCAGCGATCAAAATGAGATCCTGGTGCAGACTGTTGAGGAACTAGAGAGGGAAGCCAATGATAGAGTGGCACTGATGGAAAGTAAACTCCAAAGAACAACAGTGTCTCTAAAGGTATATGCACACGTACTCAACACAGAGAGGTTTTGAGCATGGCTGTACCTACATGAATTATGTGAAACTAGTGATCTCTTTACTGGTCTCTGGATCTGGGTTTAAATCTTCATCAGGGGCCTGTTTCATTGGATATTCCAGTAACTTTATAGGCCCAAAGCCATATCGCCCTAAGAAATTAGTGATGTGGGTCTTAGCTCATTTGCTAATATATTCTGTCTCATTGCCTGATATTTCCTTTGTTTGAATTGGAAAGCTATCATTATCTTGATCTTGATTGTAATTATAACTGACCAAAATCAGGTTTGGGGACTGGTAAATACTGGGACTTTTAAGAAGCAGGCCTCAGCATCAGTGTACTATGCTCAAATTCACACTGCCTCCTTTCACCAAACAGAGTATTAAATTAAAACCAGCTGATTTCTTAAGAGAACCTTACGTAATGTTGAGAGGTAACTTACAGTTGAGTATCCCATCTGGGATGGGAAGTAAGACTCCTAGACTTTTCTTCTGCAGCTATCAAAGTCAGGGCAAACATCTGGCATGAAATCTCCTGTTTATATATATACAAGGGATCATACGTGTTGAATTTGGTATTGGTAAAAGTTTATATTTTTATTATTTTGTGTAACTTGTGCAATGTTACATACAAATCAAAAACAAGAAGTTAATATTAGGATTTTGTACTGATTTGTTAAGGACTACACAGCAAGGGCAACTGAACTAGATGTACAAGTTGAAAAGCTGAGCAAAGAAAAGAAAGATTATGTGGAAGAGATTAAGGTGAGCTTACTGTGCATGTACTGACATGTGATTTTTTGATGAAGTTTTGTCAAATCTAGTACTAGACAAATTGCCGGTACTCTTTGATCAGATAAATGGTAATGAGAAATTCCTTACTGGTACAGGGGACTCTTCATGTTTTTGAATCAGGCAAAGGGTCAGAAAAGTGGACACTGAGTTATTGAGAGAGTTGAGATGCAGGAGAAAGTGACATTACTACCTGCAGTTGTAACTCTGCATCATGTGAACCTTATTGTGTTAGCATAAAGAATGACAATTGATTTCTGAAGGCTGAGTCATAGTCTGAGTTACATTGTACAGCTTTAAATACAGCTGTACATGTAGGCATTTCTTAAATTGGAATTCCATGTTTATTTTAAGTTTTTGTTAATTATTTACATCATTTGGAAGAGTAATGTCACATTTATAATAATCAGTGATATTGTTGTGCATTCTCTACCAGGCCTTGAAAGAGGAGCTAAACGTAACAACCCAGCAATTAGCTCACCTTGAGACGCGACATGAAGACTTGGATTATGACATTGACAATCTGATCAACCTGATTGGCACAGCTCGAGCTACAGGGAAATGGGAGGTGGCTGATTTGATTGGATTTTTCAGTTGGCAAATTTTTTTATTAGTCCTTTCTACTGCAATGGTAAAAGAGTTGCATTACTTTGTAATATGCTGGACTCCAGGTTAGAATGTGGGGGCCCTGGGTTCAAGTCTTTGATAGGGTCATTGTCAGTCTTAAAAAATGTCTCTGCTGTGCCTTATTCCAACCAAGAATTTAAAATGGAAACTGGGAAACAGTCAAGGAGGCCTGGGTGTGGCAATGTACTTGGGATGGCCGGGCATCTCAACCAGGAGAGTCGCAATACTCCTGGTTACTGTAAAAACCCGCAGATAAGCCCCACCTGCAGATAAGCCACATCGTGAATTTAGCAGCTCAAATTTGGAAAAAAAATTTTCTTTGAAAGAAATCAAAAGAAATCCAAAGTCGAGTCTTGAGAAGTCTTCTTCATCCTCTGTTCATTGAACATAAATTCACTATCAACATTGCAATGGAAAATACTTCAAAACTTTTACCCACAATTTTAGCACTTAAACATCGTTTCTACCAACTTTGTTCAAGTTCATGATCTTTTTTTGGTATTTGTTGACAGGAATTTCTTCATTCAACAGTTTTTCCATAGATTTTTACATTACAACAAGAACGTGAGCGGAACATTCAAAGCTTAGTAACCAGGCATTAGATCGGATGCAAAAATGAAAAACTGGACACCTTTTTCAAATTTTCCTAAAGATAAGCTACACCCCCAATTTCTTGTGACGATTTTTGGAAAAAAGGTGCAGCTTATCTGCGGGTTTTTACGGTACTTAACCATGTGACCCGTCATGATGATTAGCATCTAATTTCCCTGTACAGTATCGACCCTGAATTGCCCATTATGGTCGCAAGAATTTTAGAAATCATCAGCAACTAGAGAAGCTTTTGATTGTTGAACAAATTCTCCTTGTCAGTACCTTAGGAAATGTGTAGAGGACAGTGTGGAGAATAAATTATTATGCAAGACCAACATTGGGATGTAAAGAAGTTTATGGTGATGAATGTAACAATTGTTATCAAAAGATCAAGACATTGTTCCAGACTACCTGGACCCACTGCTAACATAGAAAAATGTATATTTAGGCTGATAGTTTCTAAAGAAACTGTTTGGGGCTGCTTCGTTGGGGGTAACGAAATAATTTAGATAATTATATCAACAAACTTGAAATGGTAAACTGGCCACCGTAACGATTACAAGAGCTGATATTTTGAGCGTTAGCCCTTCATCGGAGCAAAGGGCTAGCGACGGAGAGCTAACGCTCGAAACGTCAGCTTTTGTAATCGTTACGGTGGCCAATTTACCATTTCAACTTTGTTGATATATCTAAATTATATAGAAAAATGTAGTTGTAGGTTTGTGCTTGTCTATCTAACACGATTTCTTTTTTTCTCTGCAGTTGGCAGGGTTAGACTTGAGGACTGTATCTCTTGATTCCATATTAGGTGCTCATGCTGCAGCCTCCAAGGAGTTGTGAGTATCAATGTAAACCATCTCTTTTCAGAATCAAAATTATTTGATTTCTTTTGGATATTTTTGAAATTAGTATTTTCCATTTTATCCAGAGAATTTTACCTTTGATTATGGCTGTCTCCCTTGAGACAGCCATTGGTTATTTTATGTAACAGGAAATGATCTCCTTGTGTTGATTGGCTAAATGAAGAGATGAGAGCTAGTACTAGAAGTAGCAAATTGAGTAGTTACCAGATGTGTCCCAGGGGTTTCAATAAAAGCTGGTTACCAGCTTCCTGTAAGACCTCTCACCATGGTCTGTTTGGCCTGTTAGCAGGTTCTTGTGCTTGAGTTGTGACTTACAGCCCCTTTTCTGAGTGCAACTGCATATTACACCATCTGTAGCCACTTATGGAAAAAGTTATTGAAACCCCTGGGGTCATTTGTTCAAAGCTGGGTTAAGATAACCCAGGGTTAGTGTGAAATCTGATTTCAGACCTGGAAGCTTTAAAAGAAACTTGGATTTAATTCTTCTTGTCTACAATTTGATGATTGGTTGCCATAAAACGAAACAAAGAAGTTATATGGAAAAGGCTTTTAAAACAAAGGTGTCCAAAGTAATCAGATATTGCAGGGGTCTTGCCTCGTGATTTCACCATCTTAATCAAGTTGATTGGCTGCTGCATGGTCAATTTTGTGTTATCTTTGCAGGAGAGAAGGAGAGAAAAGACTCACAGAACACATCCAAGAGCTGAAGAAGCAGTTAGCTGCCAGAGATCAAATGATTCAAAGATTGCAGAAAGACCTGAAGGGGAAAGAACAGGTAAAATAAATACTTCTTTTATTCTCAATTGAACTTATGAAAACATCTAAAAGAAAATGAAAAAAATGACATTCTTTTGACAGTTTAAGGTGGTGCTGAATTGCATGCAGAAACGTGAATCTTGACGTGCTGCTTGCAATTTGGTAATAAAAAATTGGGATCAATGAACTCGCTTTTTTACTTCCAGGCACTAATGAAGCTATAGTCAAGGATGTTTCTGAGAATTTGTTAAATACAGGAAATGGTTTGAACCCGGGTGGTGGTATCATGTGTTGAGTGTTGCTATGGTTACCCTAGATTTCTCCCTAGTGACAGAGACTTATTGTCTCTGCAGTGGACTTGATTATTATAAAGTTATTACCTCTAGGAGACACTGAGCCACCTGAGAGAATTCAGCTCCTAAAATTGGCCCTGTACTCTTTTGTTTTACCCAAGGATTGAATTACAATGGAGGTACCCACCTAACCTAAATAAGTAACATTTATATCACTCCCAATTCAGAGCAACCTTGAACTTGCGGACACTAATGCCCATGGTAATGAAAAAGTGGGCTCTTTCGCCGGGGATGCCAAGTCGTTTGATACTTATACGGAAGAATGTTCTGGAAGCATGACTCAGAAAGACGTGCTCATTAGAAAGCTGAAGAACGACCTGGAGCACTCGAGAAAACAGCAGCAAAGTACGGCCAGAGAGCTACGAGAGTGTGAGCTGTCCATAGCGCGGCTGCAGGGACAGATTGGTAAACTTCAGGATGAACAGGCCCTAAAACGTTCAGACGTTGCAGCTAAAGATCAGTCTTTGAGGGTTTTGGAACAGCAGCAAGTTGGTAATAAAGTAAAGGTAGGTGTCATCAAGTTGAAAAATAGCCTGTTAAAGGTTGTCAGTCGAGGAAGGCGAGCGAGAGACCCGGCGAACGACAAACTGCGGTTGTGGTTGTCAGCAAAACGGCTGCACCTTGATTTTTTTTCAGTTCCCTTACCCTCTCTATTTTTCGGGCCTCCGTTCTTTTGTTCATTTCCACTAACAGAGGGCACCTGGCACTGGTTATTGAGAACATTTCTCTATAACGTTTGGAGCTTGCAGCTTATTGGTTACTAAACATAATTCTTAGATGTTTACATGTACATAAATTCCTCTTTGGGCCCCTTAAGAATGAATGATTAAAGTCAAAGGGAATTTTTCTGATCAAATTCAAGCTTAACAGTTAAGAGAATTATAACAAAAGAGACATTTTAGTGTATCTTCACTGGACAGGTTGCGAGACTTGAAGAAGAAAATCGTGAACTTAAGACACAAGTTCAAGCATTGAGAGACTCGGAAGGGGGCATTCCACTGGATCTGTCTCGGGAGTTTGAACAACGAGTGAAGCGACTAGAAGCTGAATTGGAAGTGGCTGAAGATCAGCGGCGTAAAGCAGCACAAGAAGTGGTCAAATTACAAAGTCAACTGAGCGAAAGTCAACATGCTGCCAAGGGACGTAAAGAAGTGTTGGTCAGCGAGGTTAGTTACAGGCAGAATTTTCGCAACACAGCGGTCAAACGTAGAGCTTGCCCGATAGGGTCAATTCTGGCCGGTTGCGCCCCAATATCCCGCTCAAATGTTTTAAGGAGAACATAATAAACAACCGCTGTCATGCAAAATGTGGATAAAAGAAAAGAAAATTCTCGTAGAAATCTGTTAAAGGAAACACAAGTAAGAAAAATTCTGTCAATTTACAATTTTGTTTTGAGCTTTTTCAAGAAAAATATACGCTTCAGAAACACCTTGACTTATAATTATTGGCTTGCGTGATTGTTCTTATTTCCTGCAAGACAACTTGGTTTTGACAGCCTGAAAGCACTTTACCTAGCCTCTACAGCGTCCGCGTATACGCAGACGTTTGACCGCGGTGTTACTTTTCGCTGCCCTCTCGCTCCTTACCAAGGAGCGTGATTTCATTTCCCAGATAATTCGCTTTTGTGGGTGTGTGTTTGAGGACTCGGATAGAACTCACGCTCGTAGGTATGCAGCACTGTACGCGCATAAAATTCGCGAACATGATATCTGCCGCTTTGAACGCAATGTGCGCGTAACATTTGTTTCCTTGCTTTTTCTAGTGCTTCGCGTAAACTTCCAACGACGTGTCGAAGTGCGAAATAATGATATTCGTTTACTTGCCTCTTATTCAGCTGACTTCAAGAGATTCCGAGCTTGACAATATGAAGGACCGATATGATGCCGCCGTTAAGGAGGTAAGTGCGTAAAGCATGTCGGGTAAGTAAGAAAAGGATGCAAGATTCCCTATTTGACGTTTGATGTTTTTCTCCTTCTGTTGTGAACTGACTTGCTATGTACGTAGCAAGTGGTCTTAACGCCTCGTCTTTCATGACACGTTTCTCAGTCTATATATATATTTTTTGGCAATTCATTGTTTTTTTTTTCTCGTTTGATCGTTGACATATGCTTATTGAAAAATCTTTGATGTTTGCGTGCTTTGTTTAATTTTCAGATCCATCAATATGAAAAAGAGATCCGTGAGCTAAAATCGCAGAATAACAACTGCACTTACGAGGTAAATTATTTTATTTTGATGTTAGACGATTTTTTGCGTGCGTTGGAATGTCCTTCGGAAGGTATGGGAAATATCCTAGCCTCCCGTGCTCGATCAGTGCATGCGGGACGCACTCAGAGCCAAGATTCGGAAGGCTATTGGTTAATGAAGAGCGCAGAAATACTTCACAGCGTCGATCTTGCGACCGAATTTCTGTCAAGCGCTAATCTTTTTTTCAGCGCCGTTTTCATTCGTATCCAGTGGGATGGGTTCCTGGTCAAATCAAGCTTTCCTCGGATACATGTACCTGATTGACTTGTTAAAATATGCAACGAGGAGCAAAATTCACGCAAAGTCAAAAACGGTTTCGACCAGTGTTGTGATCCGGTTCTCTTACTAAAGTGATAATGGCTCTGCAGCCGAAATATGGTTAAACGAGGGTAGGGCACCTCACACAGGAAATCTTGTAAACTTAATCACAGTTTTTAGCGCGGCACTATAAAAATGCAAGACCAAATTGAGAGCTGGAAACGAGGGTACAAGTTATTTGATTATTTATTTTATCCTAGCTGGAGAAGAATAAATTTCACATTCAGCAACTGGAAGAAGATGTTATAAAGTGTCGTGAGCAAGTCGCCCGTTCAGAAGAGGAATGTAGAGCGGCCCAGAGGGAGATAAAACGACTACAGGTGGCTTCTAATGATCAGAGAGACGCACTAGCCAATGAAGTAAGTTTTGGAAGTGACAACCGCTGAGTTAAGGTTAGGGTAACTCTTACCAAGGGTAGTGGTTGATTTGTATGCGGTTTACTTTGGGTTTCAGTGCATTATGTGACAAGGAGTGGTACTGCTTATTCTGGTCGGTGTGCTAGTTTACCATAAGGGACCCTCCCATAATTCATTAAGTTTCTTAGACAGTTTGTTGGTACCAATTTTATGTAGTCCTTGGTGACGAGAGGCACTGTGAAAGATAACAGTGTCATGCCAAGGGAAACAATCAGTGACTACTGTTATTACTCGAATCCGAGTTTGCTTCTTGGTCAGGGTGATTGTAGTGAAACTACACCTTCGTCGGGTTCATGTTTCACCACGATAATCTTTGTCTGACAGATTTTAGTGCCAATGCGCCAGAAAGTGGCCTTTCGATAGAGTAAACTTTTTTTTTTGGATAATCGTTGACTAACTGAAAACAGGTAAGACTTAGGAGTAACAAGTCAGGAAAAGGAAGACGCATATATCAAGATGGTGAAGATAAAACCTGAAAAATTACCGGCCAAATATATTTTTAAGGGAATGAAGGTGACGCAGTTTGTTAAGTTACCAATCACGTTGTTGTTTCAGGTGGCTGAGCGCCATGACACCATTTTAACGTTAAAGACGGATCTTTCTGCTTTGGATGACAAACACAGAGAAGCTGTCGCTCAGGTAAGTCTTATTTGTAACACCAGAATTAGTTTTGCATTCATGGTAATAGTTAATCAAGCTATTTTTCAATAAGCTGTTAGCTGTGTTCAGAGTTCAGTAGCTCTGCAAAAAATAAATCCAATAGGCATTTACTTTTCATAGACCAGTTGATCAATGAATGGTAAACAAAAAGTATGCCATCTATGTTCATTTTAACACCCTAATTTGTTTTCAACTTTCTTGTTTATTTTCTGGAAAGGCGTAAAACCTTTCTCTCTCGTTTTCATTTTTTCGATTTCAACATTATTTTTTATGTCTTTCGTTTTCTTTCGTGGAGTCATTCAGACTTTTTTTTTTACTTCCTTCACTTTACGCGTAAAAGGAAACAGAGGAAATAAGAAACGGTTCCACGGGCTTACAATGTTTTTAAACATTAAAATGCTTGCAGAGATCATACTGCATGACAAATGGTAATTGTTTTAGTAATTCTTCGGTAGAGTTAGAGTAGCAATGGATTTGCTTTGTCTTCTTGTACTCAAAAGAACCTCGACGTGTTTTCAAAGCTGGCATGGGTGTGTGATCTTGAACAATAGTTTTATTGTTCAATTGGCGTTGCTTTGTTAGAGATGAATTGAATATGGTCATGCTGCATAAATTTGTTTCGGTTGTGTGAAAAGTTAGCGTCCCTTGCTACTGAGAGCAATCAGCGAAGGTTTTCGCGTAGAACTTCGATTCCTTTTGCTTCGAGACTGTGAGACCTGACTTGAAATTTGTGACGTTTTGGCCTGGTTTATTGAAGTGTCTGACTGACTGTTTGAAAGGTACTGTACTGTAGGCGCAAGTTTGCGATTATTTTCAAAAACTTTTGCCCAACCGGCGACTTTGTGAAGCCCGAATCGAAGTGTAAACAAACTTATATTTTATGTTTTAATGGTAGCCCCGATCAAATGTTATCTCATTAACGTTTTCAATGTTCGCATAATGAAATGCGGTGCTTAATGTATTTGCTTATCGTCTCTGGACCTGTTGTTTGTAATATCCGTTAGCTTTATTTAATACGATTTCAATGCGGCCTTTGTAAAACAGATGTTTCTTTGAAGTTTGGCTTTGTTTCTTGTGCTGTTATTCAACTCTTTCTGTTGCTTTCTTGTGTTCTTAGCTTAGCTTGTCTAGAGAAGCTTTATTTATTGCACAGCTCTAGAAAACGGCATATCTTTTATCTCTATAGCTTTCTCATCGGAATAATGTGATTTCAAAGCTCCGAACTCAAAACAAAGAGATGACAGACTCGGTGAGTTCTTATGACGGTTTTTTTCCTTTGGATGTTTCACAAGAGTAGTTCTTGCGTTCACATGTTTTTAATGGGTGATTGCGAGTTTCTATGTGATTTGTGGAATCTGTAACGATTTTGTAATAAAAATTACTGTGATATTTGCTTCTGAGCAAGACATTTGAAGACAGTGTTTCCCATTAGTACTTTGGAAAAATGTTTGCATGTCATTTGCGCTGTTTACAGCTGTGTTTTTACTGTATTTCTGTAGATCGAAGACTACAGTCGTAAACAGGCAGAGCTGGAAAGTAAACTGAATGTTGCTAACAAAAGAGTAAGTAACGAAGCAAAAGCGGGTTTGCCTCAGTCGAGCCTGGCTGCCATTTTGAAAATCTTTACTTGTAGCTAAAGCGAGAGAGGACTGAGGAGAGAAAAATTATTTTCTACTCTTGCTGGGTAGGGTGGGGTTGTAGCTCGTTGACTTGGAATTACTCTCGATAGTAACCAAATAATTCTGTACCATAGATACTTTCGCCCTGATAAAAATCGAATCGGCAGCTCTTTCAAACTTGTTGAGGTTAATTTTTGAGGGGTACCTTAATGTCAGAACTTTGGCAAGAAAACGAACGAAATTTTGCTTTTGTGGATCTTTAAATTGCAAAAAGCTCACCGGTCAGTGAAAAGACTTTATCAAGAAGACCATGTAGTGACTGGCTGTTCGAGAAACTTCAGAGACATTACTCTACGGCTCAGCTCTGCTTCTGATAACTCGTTGTTATAAACACATGAATCGATAAAAGTTTCACGACATGGCCATTGTAAAAGTTCGTTCTTGAACAACCAATTAGTAAATTGAGGTACTTCTTTATCCGTTGATACCCAATGGTGTTTTGATTCTCTATTGCAGTTATCTGACCTGGAAAATCGGTTGGAGCGGAGTCATAAAACCAGCCTAGAAAAGTCTGATCACCTCGGGAAAATGGTGAAAGTTGATTTCATATAAATATGATAACATGGAAATTTAACTTTTCTAATGGCTATTTTCTTGTATGATAAACCAAGGTGTTTCGAAAGGATTTCTCAACGCAATATTCTTTTTTTAAGGTGGATGATAAAGATGTAGAATTGCGGGAACTTAAGATGGCTCTCTCTAATATAAAAGATCAGCATGAACAAGCACAGTCCAAGGTACAGATCGATACTATCCTGCTACTAACCTTTTGGCCCCTAATAGTGATCAGCATCTAATTTCTCCTTACAATATCACCCCTGAATCAAACACGAATGTCAAGAGAACAGAGGAAATGATCACCAACTATACAGAAGCTCTTGATTGTTAAACAAATTCTCCCAGTCAGCACCTAGGGAAATGTATAGAGAACAGTATGGAGAATATGCATGATGATGTCGGGTTTATGTTCAATATCGTGATGAACAAAGCCAGATAAGAGAATTTTTTCAGCTGCCTCTTGTTTCGATTCGAAGGCAGTGCAAATGCAAGCATGAATTACCTTTCTCTTTTCTTTTCCTCCAAGACATAACTGTTTTCCTCCATTATTTCTGGCATTTTTGTACAATGCAGGTCTCCCACCGGGAAGAGGCTTTGCAAAGACTTCAAGCGCAACAAAAAGATTTTGTAGACGAGGTAAGGGTTGATGCGTGTTGCAATTCCTGGGATGGACTTACTTTCTTGTCAGTTAGTTAGCTCTAAATAAGTTACTCCTACTCAGTGCATGTAATACAACGCGCGTGACTTGTCACTCAGCTTACCCTAGATGTTTTTAATGTTAGGTGTCTCGACGCGAGAAAGCCATTCAAAAGCTTGAACTGGAGCTTCTGACAGCACAAGAAAACCATCGAAGAGCACTGGATGACGTGAGAAGTTTTTTTTTTTGCGTGATTTGTATTCTGTTGAATGAATTTTATAAATTTACATGAGCCAGAATCAGGATCGTAAGGAGCTTTTAAAAGTACTCTACTGGCTCGCGAGGCACTTTCCCTTACGTTCCCTTCAGTATTCTCTCTCACTGGCACCTTTGGTGATGTGGCATGCTGTTGTATTATTGTATGTAAGTCAATACTTCTACCCCAATAAGAGGGGGTCACATTCCTCTTGGAAATTTCATCCGCTCCTTAGGTCATAATCCGTAAGTCGTATCCTTGCACTGGTTCTAGTACAGCGTAATCCCTGTGGGATTTTTTTTAGATCACAAGACGTGACGACACCATTCAGCAGTTAGAAGGAGATCTGGAGGGCAGCAGGAAACAGCTGAAGGATGCGATTGAAGAGGTAACTAGAACTGTTATGAAAGCCGTCATAAATGCTTTGCATGCAGCTGGTAAGGATATCGGCCTTGTTTAGCTTGAACAAACAGTGACGTTTATGGTATGTTGTTTTCTTTTAGAAAGGGAGACTCGAAGCTAAGATTCAAGCGTATAAGATCTCTACCCAGAGCGAGCAAGACGTGTTGGCCGAAGAGGTTCGTCTAGGTTATGATATTGCATCCTTATAGTTAATTTTTTCGCCTTTGTTGCAGTCTTGGGACGTGTCGTCAAAGGCAGCCAACGTGCGGAAATGGTTGGGAAAGCATTTTAATGGAGTTGGATTTGGTTAAAATTTTATCACAGTCTTTCTCTTTTTGTTTATGGACGGCATTTATTTTATGCTTCCAGGTCGCTAAGCGAGAAGAGGCTATTCATAAGCTGAAGATCGAAAAGTTATCTCTTCAGGAACAACAGCAAAAGGCTGAAGATAATGTGAGCACGCCTCCTGCAATTTTTATACATTTGTACATTTTACATTGATACAACCAGACCTTTTGTCATCAGTTCGACGTGTATTTCCTGTTAAACTCTTTTAGTGATCGTAAACCTTTTCATGCCCGACATGAATAGTTTGTTGTCACGCTCAAGAAGGCCTCTTTAAAGGCTAACTGCTTTTCTTGTCGATTTTTACAGCGACAAATTAGATCATCTTGACTTCATTTATGATCGATGAATTTCCAATCAACTGCTCTGAATGTTTTTCTTTTTTCTTTTGTAGGTTCGAGAGCACGAACGAGCAGTGGAAAGACTTCGGCAGCAATATGAAGACTGTCTACAAGATGTTAGAAGGATATTTTATTAACTTAACAACACACGCGGCAATTCCTAGTTCCATACAGCCTGTAAGCGTGCTGTCAATATTAGTGCTTCGGGACGTACGTCCTCCAGTGTAGGCCTGATTGGAAGCTAAGCTAGCTTTGTCTAAAGACTTGTCACTTTTTCACACGTGAGTTTCCTGCCCAAGCGCCGCGACATTTCTTTCTTTTTTTCTTTCTCGCCGCGAGTTGTTGAAATTTCCTTGCTTTGATTGAACGTTACGTTTTACCACGTTCCTGTAAAAGTTCGCTGCGAAATCGAAGCAGACTTGTAGAGGACAGTTGATCGACTTTTAAAAAAATTTTATTTCATTAGTGCTTTTTTTTGTCTTGCAGATGCAGCAAAGGAATACTGCTGTGGTTGATATGGAGGCTAAACTGAACGACATGAAATCCAAGTCGGAAGAATACACTGATAAGGTTTACGATTTGTTTTTGTTAAGAAAAGCTTGTTTCTCGATAATGTCGTTTGACTTTGTTTAATATTTACTTAGGGTTCAGCTTTTATACATATGTCATTTACCGGGCGGAAGGTCTGCATGGGAAAGAACTTTACCCGAGGACTAGGAAGGATTGACAAAAATACCTGTTTATCATGTTATGCTGGGTACTCAAACTAGTTTTACTTCTCTTCTTTTTCGCAGCTAGAGCAATACGAAGACACTATCCGTGAACTCAACTTGAAAATGACTTCACTTCAAGGCGATCGCGACCAGAAGGAACATGAGGTAAGGATCGTTCCCAGGCCTCCTAGAGTAAACACCCTTCTCAAACAAACCCACAAACCTTGTGAATGAGATATTACAACCGATTTCCCGAAGCAACACGAATATCGCGGTCTACGTTCGCTTCAAAAAAAGGGATTTTTCTTAAAGTGACGACACATGAAACTATTGTATTGGAGGATGAGAAAATTGTTGTGATATTATTTGTTATCAGTTTTAAGTGTTTATTTTTCCTTCTGCTTTCGACTAGGCTGACATGAAGGAGGATACAATACAGCACCTGGCCGCGGAGATGGATGAGTTACAGGAACAGCACAGGGACGTTTTGTCGAAGGTTTGCTAACCTGTTTTTTTTATCCTTAGTTTTTTTTTTTTCGACGCGAGTTTCCAGTTGGTGTGGAACTTTTACCTGTTACTAATGAACGCTAAGTAGAGGAAGTAAGAGTTGTTTTTTCTACTCCTCATCAGATGTCTAAGAGAGATGAAATGATTGATCGCCTGAAGTCTGAAACTTCTTATCTAAAAGATCAACAAAGGGACAAAGAAAGAGAGGTGCATTTTTTTAAAATCTATTGTATTTATTTTAAATTGTAATTTTTATTAATTTTCTTAAGTTTCCTTACCTATTTAAAGTTCGGCTGTTCATATTTTTTAGTTTCGTCTCAGTGGCTTAATTTGCTCATCATCAATCAAACGGCTTTGTCGAGTAACGCAGTTTAACTTAAGTTCAGCAACATGATCGAATGAAATATTTCGTTCCCAGATCTCCCAGCAACTGGACGTGATCAATCGACTGGAGCGAGACTTGAGTGAAAGTAGCCGAGACCTTGAAAATCTGAAAGAGAAATCAACTGAGGATGTGAGTGTGGAAGGCGAGCTGTTCCTAAACAATAACAGCATAACCAACAACAATACTGAGTCTCATTTACTACAGGAATAAATTCACTTATAAGATTCTATTTCACCGTGATTTGAACGAGTAATTGTCGGAAGTTCAAGAGGAATCATTTGTGTTAAAGTTGAAGTTTAGTCACGAATTTGCATGGTAGCTTTTCTGCATTTTTAACGCGTTCACATTTTTTCTACATTTTACGGTCTTATTTGATTTTTTAACTTTAAAGGCAAGCGGTTTTTTTTTATCAGTTTTGGTAAGGTTCATATTATTTATGGTTTTCAACTCTTTCTTGCTCAGCTTGAGCGTAAGTTGAATTTTTTAACATTTTGTGATGAATGCATGGGTCATGGTTTCTTCAAATACCAATCATACTTATTTTAGCGAGGTCCAATCCACGTTCTTTCGCATCATGGCGTATATGTAGAGAGAACACCATAGAGCAGTTTCATACATTCAAGACCATCTTTCATCAGAAGCAGTAGACGTAGAATTGGAAATCTTTGTTCATAAAAACCTTCAAACGCTTTTATAATTCATTTGATTATTTCATTTGATCACTACATTAATTTACCGTATACTCCCAGAAATCCAAATTATGAATCAAAGAGGCAGTGATATTAGAGAGAAAAAAATTGAAATTTAAAATAGATAATATATAGTGATTTTTGTATCTTGGTATATTGTAAATTTGACGTTTGAAGAAAATCAATGACTCAATGTGAGATAGCTTCTATCAATATTTTTAATAAATATAGTTTTAGCAGATGGTCTCTTGGTTTTTTGTTGTCTTAAATATTGACAACATTTTAGACCATTTTTTTCTGCTTTAGTTAGAACTGATTTTCGGAAAATCTGCTTCAGCTTCTGCTGGAAGATATGGTCTTGAATGTTGCCTGGTGATAAACTGCTGCTACTATTTAGTTTGTTATGCGGTAAATAACCTACTTGGAGCCTCTTTTCCCACCAAAATTGTTCCAGTGCAATATCTTTTAATGGTTTTTTTTTTGGTATCAGTGAAGTTCGTCTAAGAAGCGCTTTAGTGATATGACGGAAGGGGAGAGTTACCGAAACAATTTATTGGCCTTGACCTTGACTGCACAGATTGATGGATTACTCGATTCGCTTCCCTCAACTAGCCACTTAGAAAAATGCAGTTACTGCTTAGGTCAGACCAAAGCGACAGGGTTTTTCAAACGCTTATCCTAAAGAGCCAAGATACCTCAAACATCAATTCGTTGTAACAAGTTTGTGCTACAAACAATTTAGTGTGAACTGCGTCTAAAAAAAATCGGTGGACGATTTCTAGCCTTTTCGAAGTTCTCTGTTACAAGAGACGAACGAAAAAGTGGGCGACCAAATCTTAAGAAACAACCGTTATCACGCAAGTCATTCGAAAAACTTGAGAATTTCGTAGAAATATATGAAAGAGGTTCAAGAAGCAACCGTCATTGTTGGAGACCGTAACATTAGCAAATAGTGAAATAGGTATCATCTACTAGTTATTTAGAACCTATTATACAAGAATACCACCCATCAAGAACACTACGATCATCAACTCGCTTACAGTTATGCATCCCACCTATTAAATCCAATTCCTATGGTGGACGAGCTTTTTCAGTATCTGCACCGAAACTATGGAACTCAATTCCCGAATATATTAAAAGAGCGGAAACAGTAGAAACATTCAAAACTAGGCTTAAGACATTTTTGTTTAAAAAACATTACTGTTAATTACTTATTCTCTATGTCTTAATAATCTGTTGTTAGGCACATTGAGATTAGAAATGCACCCTATAGGCATCTATTTATTATTATTATTTAAAGAAAACAACCGCTGGGAAATGAATACGGAATGAACATAAAGAAATGAAATCAACACAAAGCTTTATCCTAAAAAGGGGTTATAGGTGGCTTGCTGACTTGTTAGGCTGTTTAGAAATCCTGGAGGACGACTTGGTTCTGACCGCTTGGAAGGACGCCCCCCCCCCCCCCCCTCCCCACCCTAGCCATTGCAAATTTCGCCCGTGCGCAGACGCGTGACCTCTCTCATTTGTGTTGCGCGCAACCACCCCGCAATAGTTTGTGGGCCATTTTTGCGCGCGCGCCCACCTTTTCGCCCGTCTCCACTAAGCAAAAGCCGGCAGAGGTACACTAAATCAAACGAGTTTGAATTTGTGCGACTTTTCGCTGTACAAAATCATGTCTCGGCGACAATTTGCTTAACAGGATCTTGACCAATTAGTTGCATTTTTTTCACAGTAGCATTGATAAGATAGTGACAGCGGACTTCTGCGCAAAATTTTATCAGAACTTTAAAGAAATGATTGCGACATCGGGAACATGAGAAATTGCCTATTCTGTTGTTTGCCAAATCAGTAACTCTTAACCCATGTTTTCACGCGATCGTTCTGTTCATAGGTGGCCAGAAGAGATAAAAGAATTGAGCAGCTTGAAGAGGAGTTCGCCGAAACACAGCAACAGTACACGGAATGTTATGACGAGGTACGATATTCACACTGCCTTTCAATCATATTTTATTAATATATACTTGTTACTAACCTCGTTTTGTCAGTGCGTGTTGTAAGCTACGGACCGGGTTTTTTGCGCTTGGCTTTTATGGCCCAAGTGCGAGGCGAGCGGAAAAAACGAAGTTCTGTAACTTACTATACGAACCGAGGAAACGAGGTTATTAAGATAATTTTTTATATCTCTTGGTTCAAATTGAGGAGAAAGTTCTCAATTCAAACAAACTTTTGAATTTAGTTGGCCGTACAGGGAAATACGGCAGGCTAAATCGACCAATCGTAGCGCACGAACTCAGCGCGCGCGGAATCCGAATCGAATTTGACGTTCATTGATGAAAATAGTGACGTAACAAAGCTCAACTACAGAAGCATATTGTCAGTGAAGCAAAGCGACGAGTTAAAACAACGAATGGCCGCAATGAACAAGCTTCCGGGAATTCATCTTGCTTTGGTAAAGTTGCATAATCGATTTTTGCCTTCGTTAACTCTGGTAATCGCCCCGTCGAGCGATCGGTATTTCGGTCATGAAATGTTGTTCGCTTTTTGTTTATTTTTTCGCGCTGATCCTTTCAAACAACTTGTTGATCATATATCGCCGTGATTCGAAAGACTTTTATCCCATATTTTATCAACATATTAACAGTAGCTTTTCTAAAAGGAAACGAATAGATAACTTAAATGCTCACAGATTATGACTTACGGCTTGATATCTTAATCCAGGGCTAATTTTTATGAGCAAATGTTGATTCAAACTCGTTTCGAGAACCTATGGCACTAAACATAATTTCTTTTGTTAAGGCTTGCTTGATAAAAATCATTCATAGTTGCCAATATTTCAGCAAAGTTGTAAGCTCTCAACTATTTATAACCATTCGATAAAAAATTGTCGACAACAAATTGCTTAATATTTTATTCGTGTTTACGTTTTAATTCATAACGGAAAAAAGTATTTTCTACAGTAGAAAGGAACCGGAATTAAATTGTAGAGTAAATATACCTAAGAAAATTCAAAAAGACAATTGTTGCTATCAAAAGATCTATTATGACACCTCTTGATTATCTGCTATGTCATTTACCAATAAACGTTTATAGCGTTATTATTGGCGGAAGTTATGAAACACGATTTAATATGCATCAAAACAATTCGACTCTCTGTGAAAATCCTATTTGTAGCCCGTTGTAGTTGAAAATTCTCCTCTTCCCGTAATTTTTTTACAATGAGTTGCGATATAGCGAACATTTGGAGTTCAGCTGCTTTGGCTTGTGTCACAACAAGTTGGCGAAACCGCTGTCTTCCCTTGTTTCAAACGGTATGATGACTGTGGATAGAAAAACTTCAAGCACCGCTCGAAAATTTGCATATTTAACATTCGTCGTTTATCTCGAACACTTTTCAATACAACTCTTCTCATTTTTTCGTTTCAATTCACTTTTACTCATTTCCAGACAGAAATATTGATAGTTACGAAATTCAAAGTTTTAATGATTATGCACTTCGTAGTTGCAGTTACTGCGACATTGTTGTAAATTTGTACATAGTTTTTTGGAAATTTTCAACTCTAGTTTCCTTTATATAGATATCTAGCTTTCAAGTACAGAGCGTTTTGGTTGTCCATTCCTACTTGAAATGTTGTAAAAGAAAACAGTTGTTTCATATTTTATGTTTTCTCTTCTTTGTTACGGTCAGATTGATGTTTCAAAAATTTCTGAATTTAATTTTATTTCTCTTCTGTAGCTTGTTCGCCAAGAGGAACTCATGGCAAAGTTACGAAATGAGATAACGTCACTACAAGAAGATGTGTCAAGGTCAAATGATGAGGTATTTAATGAAAAAAAAAAAAAGGTGACCTTTTTTAAGCCGTGTTTAAAACCAGGAGTCATTCTGAAAGAGTTTTCTTGGCAGTGTAGATTGAAAATCAACTTATCTCCTTGTCTGCTGGTTACGTTTGGAATCTGGAGAGCTAAATAACTCTTAAGCTGCGAGAGCCCGAACTCTTGGAACGATGAGGTGTTGACCTGTTAAATGTCACTTAGACTTCGTTTCTCTCATTAGGTGGTAGAATCGGAAGAAACTATTCGCAAAATGGAAATGGAGCTTGCGATGTCACAGGAAAAACACCGCACATGTACGCAAGAGGTAAAAATAACTAAATGAGTCTTTTTAGGAAAATTTCTTGAATTCAATTATCTAAAGGAATATTCGAAATGGAAGATGTATCAAAAAAGCAATTTAAGTTACATGTAAGATGAGGTTTCGATTCCAGTTTCTCTGTTATTTTGGTGCAGGGCAGTCTGAGATTTCAGAACTTTTTTTTTTTCTTTCCTTTGTAATTTGTTAAGAAAACTTGCATCTCCCTTCTATCCACTTGAATGCAAAACCAAAACCAAACGGTAGATGGTAACTCGTATTTACTGCGATCTAAGCAGTTCGCTAGCTTTTATACTACGATTTCTGAAAGGCCCCGTTGAATGTTCGTCTGCTTCGATTTCTCGTTGTTAGTGCCTTGGATTTCGTTTTAGCACAACAAGCAATGGCAATACACTCTATAATCCACTTCCTTAAAAGAATATCTCTTATTAATGCTGTGATAACCTCCTCCGTGGTCTCCTTCATTGTATCTATGACATGTTAACAACCAATGGCCACTCGTTAATTGACGTTAATTGATAGGTGGCAAAACGCGACGAGACGATCCTGAGCCTACAGTCCGAATTGGACGCTACTCAGCAGGAATACGAGACGTGTAGCAGTGAGCTGTTGGAGAGAGAACGAGAAGTAAACGACTTCAAAGAAAAACTCGGCAAACTGGATGTCGAGGTTAAGGCGCTCAAAACACAACGAGAAAGTGACGAAAACAAGGTGTGGATACTTAATGAAAGATTAAAAAGAAAAAATAGTCACGACCTTGAGTACCCAAAAATGATTCGAACTTTAACTTTTCCAATTTCGAGGAAATGAGAAAGCTATCCTTTGATGAGAGTGTTCATTTGGGAGTTTCGATTCTGTAACATCATTTTGGTTCTTCGCAGATCGCAGGAGACGATAAGGAAATACAACAACTGAAGACAGACAAAGCGAGACTGATGCATGAGGTTGGTTTAGCGCACAAGGCTTTAGTTTGATAAGAGAAGTCATCTGGTTATGCTAATGATGGTTTTGTTTCGTTTACGATGAGATTTGTAGAATAACGATCATTTGCTAGCATTGGAAATGACATTTTCTCTCTCTCTTTTAAATCAATGTTGTTTTCAGGTCCAACAACTGATGCAGACTGTTGAACATGTAGAGGGAACCATGACGGACGCAGTAACAGGACATTCGTCAGAGGTAAATCTTCCTTTGCACTTTACGAGTCAGGCACTGATTCCCCCAGATTTACGCCTTGTTCTCTAACCTTTGTTTTTGAATTGCCTCAGGCGGCAAAAATGATTTGAGAAACCATTACATCTGATTGTAGATTAAACGGCTTAATGCAGAGATTGAAACATTGGGAGCTAACCTTACTGAAGTCATGCAGAAAGAGAATGATACAGCTAACCAGGTGAGTTGACAGTCAAACTACTTGTTCTACTTCTACCTTTAATTAAAAGGTACAAGTCGAGACGTAAATGTCGGCGACAGACTGATCAATAGGCCATTTTACAGTTGTGCGCTTGGTTGCCAAGCCTTTGATTTGGAGTGAGGCTGAAGGTAACCTTGTTGTGATAGAGACCAGTATCTAGTTAGCACGATAACAAAGTAATTTACATTTGAAAAGCAGCAACGTCTGTATCATAACAAGGTCACCCTTAGCCTCACTCCCGTTCAAAGGCTTAGCAACCTAGCATACAACAGTAAAATGGACTATTAAGGACGGTCACATTATTTACCTAATCATCTCTGTCCTCTGCTGGGAGAAAGAACCATTTTTGAAACACTAGCTCGGGACCATGGGTTTACAAGTTATGAGCTCGCTTTGTTCTTGAGGTGCTGATTGTTTCAGAAAGTGCATCAACAATTCCCTTCAAATTAGAGGTCAGTAAATTACCCATGAAGCCGTGGGATATCTCAGGAAAACTGAATCTTTTGTCCTAAGAAAAAGTATCATTAGTCTTGACTTCCAAGGGGGTGTCTTTTATTACTGCCAGAGATCCTCAGAGCCACCAAACTTAAGATTCAAAATGCACGGAAAACTCTCTCTCTTATTAACCAATGGCAATTGTATATGCGATGAAATATAAATGATATTGTTTTCTAATGCGCCATTGTTATACTGATATTATTTTAGCTCCAAGAAGAACGCGAGAAAAATAATAAACTGACCCGTGAAGTGCAACACAACCAAAAACTGAACGAGGAAGCCCTTGAAGAGGTAAGACTAGACTTTCAGTTTGTTCATCTTTCTAACTGTCTGTCTGTATGTCTGGTTGGCTGGCTGTCTGTCTGTCTAGCTGTCTGTCTGTCTAGCTGTCTGTCGGTCTGTCTAGCTGTCTGTCTGTCTGTCTAGCTGTCTGTCTGTCTGTCTAGCTGTCTGTCTGTCTAGCTGTCTGTCTGTCTGTCTAGCTGTCTGTCTGTCTGTCTAGCTGTCTGTCTGTCTGTCTAGCTGTCTGTCTGTCTAGCTGTCTGTCTAGCTGTCTGTCTGGCTTGCTGGCTGACTGACTTGTTGGCTTGCTAGCTCGCTCAGGGCTTTTTATCGGTTCGTCGATCCTTCTATAGACCTGCTTATCTCTTTGTCTGTTTTTTTCGTTTGCTCTTCCATCTGTGTTTATAGACAGTATGCATAAGTGGCAGGCCTGATTGGTTTTCTCATGCGCTCATGTAAATTAACCCAATTAACCTCTTTGAGTTAAGGCTTTTTTGTTCCTTGGACATACTGACGAGGCTCGATGGGCTAATCTACATCAATACGAAAGAATATCAATCGAGTCCGCCATTTACGCATGATGTCTATATATGCTCTCCTCCCTGTCCATTCTTGGCTGTCGGTCTGTTTGTCTGTCTGTCTGACCTTCTGTTCGACTGCCGGTTTGTCTTTGTCTTTTTGTCAAATGGCAAAAAATGATATTCTTACTATTTCATTTATATATATTTTTAACTTACGTTTATTTGGATTTTCTGAAAATTTCACCCCATGACACTTGTTCTCCTCTTGTAGATCAATCGTTTAGAGCAAACTATCCGTCGTCAAGAAAAAGATATGACAGAAGCAAGAAACCAGGCAAGTGAAAGAAATACCGTGATCCTACTTGGAAGTTCAATAGAAATGTTCCAAGATATTTATCACCAACGTTTATTGTTGTTTCAAACGTCAGACCTTCGTGTTCATATTTTAGGCTTCAAGTCTGAAAGAAAAGCTCAATGAACTGGAATCACACAGCCATCAACTACAGAAAAACGTTAACTATTACAAAAGCCAGTTTAATCAAAGTGTTACTCAGGTATTGTGTCTTTATACGTCTTGTGGTAATTTATTATTTTGGCCCTTCGTTTTCTGGCTGCCACACCTTTTCAAATCTTCAAATCTTGAGAATGATTGCGGTACACGTGTTTGTTTAATATCTGGTTCTGAGAATTTGGTGTTAAAATCAATTTCTTTAGTTAAAAATTTCCTTCTCTTAACTCAGTTGTTGGTATGGCTGACAGAGTGTTAATATTGTAAGAATTAAAGAGAGGATTACTCCATGGAATGAAAGGGTTAATTCAGTCTGTCCCATTTGCTTCCAGGTCAATCGATGTGAGGCTATGATCAAGAACTTGGAGAAAAGTTTGAAAGAGGCACAAGAGCAGGTGAATTGTTAAATTTCATACTGTAACTTGCTTTTTCAAGCATCAAGCCTTCTTTTTTTTTTTTTTTAACCTTTCTTATTGCTACTCATACCTTTGCGGATGCTTACTTAGAGAACCTGACTTCATCCTTCCATAAATGCAAACTTTAAAGTATAATAACCTTGTTATACACTAATAAAGAGAAAACTTTCTTTTAAAACGCAATTTCCCCTTTAGCTGTTGTTATGTCGTCGCCTTCCTCTTTAATCACTCGTAAAATCTTTCTTAAGGCTACGAGCTAGACAGACAACACTCCTCTATCAAACTTGCTGCTTGACTTTTTTTTTCTTCTCTAAGGCGGTGAAGTGCGAAGAAGAAATAAACCAACAGTCTCAAGAGCTGACAGTATTGAGACAAAATTATGCGAGTGAAACGGAAAAGGTGAGTGGATACCAAATCTGGTCAAGCTATTTGAAATGACTATTTGGGGTTAACTTTGTGGAAACGAGACGTTTCGCGGATGCACTAATAGAAAGTATTTTACATCGTGTCCGTCTCGTAGACCGACAGAATTTGAAACCAAAACAAAAAGGACATTTAAAAAAATTGCGAAGAAAAATAAAGCGGAAACTTAACATTTTTTTCAGGGAACGAATTTAATTTTTCCCCTACTTACTGAGTACTCGATCGGTTCACCTCTCTTCTTCAAACATTTTTGATTTTTGTTTTTTGTTTTGTTTTGTGTTTTTTTTTCAATTCAGCCGTAAAGTTGATTTTTCTCCCGGAAGAGCGGCCTTGCATAGAAAGATTATTGATATTGAAGACTACAAGCCATATCTGAAACAAGAAAATATTTTTCAAGGCTAATGTCGTGTCGAGTCAAACAGAAATTAAAGATTTATGTGTAATGTTCTTAAATCAAAGTGTTTGGTTAGTTTTGAGAAATCCTTTGTCAGTAAAATGCTTTCGAGCCATTGTTTTATTCGGTTTAATTAATCACATTTACATAGTGATGTTTTTGTTTGATTTTATTGTCAATTTATTTTATCACCTGTTGCATATACCAAATGTACAAATTGCTTAGTGTGTTGTGTAGTTTTATTATACAAGAGCAAGATCCCTATAAACTTTGTCGGTTTTTCTCACGAGGCCAAATCCTTCTTCAAAACTGTGGCAAATTGACAGATAAAATTAACAAATCAGTTTACGGATTGCTTTATTTTTGGTGAAAAAAAATTATTTACGATTTTGTATTCTTTGAAATAGAGTAGTTGTACGGAGTTTAGAAAGTACATGTTTTATTAGAAACCTGCTCAAATCTCGCTTGTAAAGGGGGATATTTTGTCCCATTTGTTTAAAGGTTATTTAAAATTTTTTTATTATTATTTTTTTGTAGGCTCAAAAGCAGAACAACGCAATGGAAGAGCTTGATAGGGAGTTGCATCTGGCCAAAGACGCCTGCCACAGATTGAAAAGCCAGGTATTTTAGAGTGTTCAGGGACGAACTGGAAAACTATAGTTTATTTGGCATGAAATAGCTCGTAATATTTTCGTTTCTAAGGCTCTTCAGCCATCAAACTTGGCTATGCAACTGTAGGTTTCATTTACTGATTTGAATTAATCGATGAAAATGATTTTTTTTTTTGTTTATTCTTTGTATTTTCTTTGTCATTCCGCTTCCTCGTCAAACAGAAAAACAAAGCTTTTCTGTTCGGGCTTTATGACCAGAAACAAATGTAAATGATAAATCGAGACAAGAAGGTTCCTTCGTTTTTTGCCGGCACTTGTGTGACAAGAGAATTCTAGTAAGTTAGGAAGGACAAATTACAGTGGAAAATTGTCAGCAATGGCCTGAAGTTCTCTTTTGAGTACTACTAATCAGCTGTTGGACCTCTGAAAGAAAATTGTACTAAGTGATTGTTTTAAAGTTTTTATTGGAAATTAACATTAATTCTCTGAACTGCAGGTTTCCCATTGTGAAGAGACCATTCACAATTTAAAGCAAAAACTCGGCGACAAACAGAAAGAGGTAAGGATGATTTTGAATTAGTACTGCATTTCCAAAATTACTGCGTAAGAGGAAAAAAGAAATCATTTATTCCCCGTACCTACAATATGTTGATATTCTTCAATAAAAAAATCTTCTTCACACGAAAACCATTTTCAACTTATCTTACACGTATCCTCCATCCGAAGCTTGCATTGCCAATTAATCGTTTCAACGTGGTAAATAAATAATGGAAATCAAGCATTAACGAATACCTAAAAGTCCCGCTAAAATTATTTGAATTTGCACATTAATTGTAAAGTTAAGAAATGTGCGAAACTATTCACATATAAACCTGATCTTTGCTGAATGTTATCAGATTTAAAGGGTCTTGTGTGATGAGAGGAGACCGTCGCCATTACATGTTTTTTCCGCTCTGCTGGCTTTCTTTGTCGCGTGTTGTGACAATGCGAAACGAGCGGCTAAAACGTGACACAAATCCCTTAGAATTAGTTACGTTCTCATGGCTCCTTAAAAAAGGTTCACCGCAATGAATGTTTATTTTGTTATTCAGGGCTCTATCCAAGAGGAAAGAACAAGGCTTCTTCAGGAAGATTTGAATGCTTCAAAAGAAAAATTCGAGAAATCGTTGGAAGAGGTACAGTCGCTTAAGCAATAGTATAAATCTCTTTTGATTCATTGCAATCTTTAGATTCGTGTTCTAAAAGCAAAGGTTACTCATTGGTTGTTATAGATTGCACAGAAGGAAGAAAAGATCCGAAGTCTTCAAAACGCGATTTTGACCGAAAAGGAACAACACGCTCAGCGAGTCCAACAGGTGTGAATATTTTTTTCAGCTCTTAGACACGTACTGCGTCGCATTTTTCAAGGAGTTTGCTCTTGGAAATCCTCCATACTTGCAGTGATGAGCACTTTTCGGTCTTTCAAGAACGCTACGTAGAAGAAACAATGACTCTACAAATGGAGCCTAAATGTTGTGAACTGGTTGTGACATACTATTTCTGCACCTTTCATTAAACACTAACCTATCTGTATGCATTTGATCCTTCAAGGTCACTTATTATGAAGAGAAAATGCTGGAAGTGGAGGATGAGCTAAGTAGAGTGAAAGAAGACAGAAGGCAGGCATCAATACAGGTAACGAATTTTTTTTTTTAACTCCCAAAGTGCCTCTTTGTTAGGGAACCTGATGAAACGCTGAGATAATTTTCGATGGACTAGCCTCTCATCCAGAAGCTGTAGCGGGTATCCATAGTGGACACATATACCGGTAAGCGTTTTCCAGGTTCTCAGTTATTAGAGAGGGATGAAAGAGAGGATGTGCGGCAAACGATCGTTGTCATTGGTAGAGAAACGGCTCCTGCCGTTTTTCGCGCGTCCAATATTTCGACCGTTTCCGCCAATTAAGAGCCTGGCACAGACACTGAGACTAGCTCCGGTAGCTATGTTAGCTAGTTTTGTAGGTAGATTGACATTTAGACGATCATTAATTTACATTTACTTCCTATAGAAGTTGCCCTTTACTCTGCAAAGTTTACAGAAACCTTTTTTATGCGTGTATTAAACTTTGATGGTAGAGTGAGGGATAAAAATACCGTCCTGATGCGACAAAAAAAAAAAAACGACTCGTAGCTAAATTTCATCGTATTCACAGGTAACACGCAGTGAGCAGCTTAGTCAACAGCTACAGAAGGAAGTCACCAACTTGAAACAAAAGAGCAGAAACGAGGTACGGACAAAACCTTTGCAATGCTTTAACCAACGGCTGTCAGTATAAATCAGCAACTTCTTTTCCTTGACAAGTTTTCCTTGGAATTTTCGGTGGAAAATTTTCGCAAGTCTTAGCGAGATCCTTTTTCAAAGAAAAGTATGAAGGTCTCGAAGGCTTTTTCTACTTTAGCCTCAGTCATCAGCCTTGAGTGTTCCGCTACGACACAATCCTCTCTACATCAGAGGATTGCGGGCGCACCGAAACGCTTCTGGCTTAGACTAAGCCTAGTTTTACATGTATTTTGTTAAAGTTTTGGGTAATATGTTTCATCAAGAGGTCCTCTTTCTGTGAAAATTTTGTTCAATTGCACCGCCCTAACTCAAAAAACCATGAAGACTTGACAACTGTTCCCTACAGCCCTCAATAACATAAAAACTTTAGCTGAAATGTTTAGCAGAACTCAAGTAAACCCACGCAATTTATCTCTTTCTTTGACATTGAGCAACTGAATCAATTGTTTCATGTTTTCTTTTGAAGATGGCGAAAAAGGATGAAATTGTGAGGCGACTAGAGGGAGACTTAACCAACCTTCAAGAGACGGTCAAAAGCTATGCTGAGGAGGTGAGATGAGTTAATTTTCACTCCTGTTGGAAGGCTGGAATATCAACTTTGTTCAGTTAGTTATAGTCAAGAATTAATGATTACTTTCTTTTTTGTTTCGTATCCAGGTCGCTCAGCTGAACGGCAAGCTAACGGCCACTCAGACAACACTATCAACACGTGATCAGGAACTACGTGAAAAGGAAAATGAGGTATTTAAACAACACGTATAAAAAAGAAGGATGTTTTTTTCGTCTTTTCATGAGCGTGGGCGAAGGAAACTAAATTGGGTTCACATCAGGAATTGAACCTCAGACTTTCGGAGGAACGAACATTTATATTTTATTTTTTTGTTTCCCTACGAAAACTCTCTTTCTCCAGTTACATATTTTCTATCTTCAAACCTTTTTTCCCCCTCAGATATTCAGTTTGGAGCAGGCAACAGCTGAGATGAACGACCAGGTTAACACCATTCAGACGAACTGTAGCCACTTGGAAGAAGAGGTTTGGACCAATATGACATCAAGTCCTAAATTTTCTCGGCTCCATAGTACAAATGATCTAGATTATTAATCTGATTGTATACTTGTTTTATCTTATTCATAGGGTTCTAAGCAGCGTGCCAGAGTTATTCAATTGGAAGAAGACTTATCAAATACTCGCCAAAAGCACCGAGACGCCGCACAAGATGTAAGTTTAGCTTTGGTTTATAAACTGGATGGTTACTTAGTATTACCAACCTTTCCGACTTTGTTCTTTAAGTTAGTTTACTTATGTTTTCTTTGTCTTTGGCATCATCCGTTATTTTCCCGTAGCTTGCTCGTTGTGAGGAGAGACTGGGTCTGGTGGAACAGAGTTTGTCGTCTACACAAGACCAGCTGAGTGCCCGGGTGTCAGAGGTCAGGAAGCATCAATCGACTCATTGAAAATTTTTTTTTTTCATGTTGATGATTGAATGGACTGAATCTAAAATGAAAAAAATAACGAGATGAAAAGTCAGTTTTGTCTTTTTGATATAGGTTGTGAGACTAGAGAAATCAAATCGCAGATTGCAATTGGAACTGAAGAGCACCAATGAACAACAAGAAGTACAAAACAGACAGGTTATTTAGCTTTCTTTTGTTTGTCTATCTGTTAATGTATGCGTTTGTGGATGCGTGGAGACTCCGACTGGCATCTAAAATTCTTGCTCTATTCTTATGACTTTGGGCTTTCATAGGGGCAATTTCTCATGACTTTATTCAGCTTGTAGATCTCTAAGCTTGTTTATTTATTCTTACTTGAGACCTTAAGACCCTTTTTACGCCTCTATCTTACTTATACGCTTTGTTTTTCGCAAGATCGGAGAGCTTGAAGGTTACTTGGAGCAGTTGAAGGCAGACTTGCAAGTGGCTCAACAGAGACACCAGGCGGCTGTAGAGGAGGTGCCACCAAAACAACTGTTATAACATAACCAAAGTAAAGCGCGCGCTCTGATTGGTCAATTTAGCGTCCCCCATTTGCCCATGGGTGTACGCTGCTGACGTGAGCAAATGCAAAGACTATGTTTCCGCGCGCGCTTGTTTTTTCTGGTCTCGTAAGATTTGTTAAATAAAAGGGAACTCTTTAGCTACAATGTATGAGTGTTATGTTATAAAACAAATGGTAAACACCACAGCGTACACTATTGAGTTATGGATGCACTTGGGAGGTTTGCTAAGCACTCAAGAAGCTAGAGTCGCTCTCGGCTATCGCCTCGAGCAACTCTTACGCTTCTTTCGTGCTTAGCAACCTCCCGCGTGCATCCATAACTCAATAGTGTACGCTGTAGTGTTTACCATTTGTTAATTATGTAACAGTAACAGTTATGTTACTGTTACATAACTAGGTCAGCTGTTACTGTTACATAACAGTCGTCAGCTATGCTCCAAGTCGTTGTAAAAGGAGTGACTGTTCTGTCTGTCGACGTTTCTTGTTAAATTTTGTTACAAAGATTCTCAGGTCATAGAAATGCTCACGGTTGTATGTAACTGTGAAATCAAAAAACATTTCGAGGTATTTCGTAGGTTTGTTTGCTTTCCTTGCCTCCAGGAAATGATATAATAATATCACTCAGTGTTTGAGCTTACTGAATTGATATTCACATGTCAAAACAAGTCCAGTATTTGTTGATAGCAAAACACAGGCGTTGGTCATCATATGTTAGTCAATGTTCGTAACTGATTTTCTTATGTTAAGGCGGCTGCTTACGAGGACAAGGCAAGAAGACTGGAGATAGATTTGGAGACTTCCCAAAAAGAAAACCAAGTTATTAGTGAACAGGTCTGTGTGGCGAATCAAGATGAATCCTAAGAAAATGATGAAAACTAAGAAACTCGAAACTTAGTCGTTTATCAATCGTTTTTGTTATAGAGGTGTTTATTTTTGGTATTCTATGTCATTGCAGTTTAATGACCAACTGGAAAGTGCGCGGGAACTGGAAACCCAACAAGCACAACTTAGAGGACAAATACAGGAGGCACAGAAGCACGTGAGTATCACATGGTCTCCACCTGTCTTACACACTGTGCGTAGAATGGCATTCAGGTATAAAACCTAACTTTTTGTTTTATTTTGTTTGTTTGTTTGTTTTTTAACCTTTTAGATTCGTCATTGTCAAAACGTGATGGAGGAACAAGAGAACAAAATCTCGTCCTATATTGAACAACAGGAAGATGTGAAATCAATGGTCAGTGGTTTTAGAAGATGTTCAGTTAGGTGTCGAATGAATATTTAAGAATTTCTGTTGGACTTGGTAGTTAATGAATGAGTGGGAGGGCCGGACGGGAAATTTTTGGCCTAAGGTCGTGACTGACTGGCCGATTGCTATGAAGTCAGTAATCTGAAAAATTAAATTCAAGTAATAGTACCTGAAAATTAACTGAATTTGGAATAGTTGTTTTAGTATATACTAAAACAGTGAGGTAATATACACCACCAAACATTGATTTGAGTGATTTTTTCGCTTGTCACGGATGCAAACCGGGACGCCATTTTTTCCCGAGTTGCTCGGAGGTAAATAGCAAAGGATATTCGGAGTTTGACTAGCTAATCAGAGTGCGCCTTCAACGCTATCCACTGTTTTAGTATATACTAATAATATTTACCGATTTTTTTTTCTTTTTTCACTCGTTTACGGAACTCAGATTCGGGACAAAGAGAAAGCGAATGGTCAGCTGCGAGAGGAACTTGGTGGAGTATTAGAGAAAAACAAAAACATCATGGAAGAGGTACACAATACACTACTTTGCTTTAAATTAAAACTTTACGCTGAACAGATATGCTGCAGGAATTGGTGACTCGTTGGCAATGTTTTAAATGTATCTTGGTCATAATTATACTTGTTTATTCACCAGATCGCGGCACGTGATGCTGATATACGGGTTCTAAAAACTGACCTGAACTCGGCGCAGAAGAAAATCAAGAATCATGCAAATGAGGTAGGGCCAAGGTCTCGCTAACAGTGACGCATTACTCTTGTGGCATAGGAGCCACAGCAACAGTCTTAGAGAGTCTCGAAGAATCAGTTACTGAAAATAGGTGGCTTGAAACTCCTTTAGGTTGTTGCCGCTCTCACGGTGGTGGGTACCTCCTCATTGTCCACGTTATGTCGGATAAATTTGGAAGCGCAATCCTTTTAACTTTGTTTTCGTACGGTTTAACCTGCCTTGTTTAATGTGGCCTGACCTGCCTGATAGGTGTTTAATCCTTTTTATACGTTTCACGCCAGTGAAAATTTTCCGAGCCGAGCGAGTTACGCTTTGAAAGTCACTTTTACTTTGTTATAGAGCGATTTTCGACTGAGTGTCGTAGAAACCAAAACCAAAGTTGCAATCTTATTAGAATGGCCAATCAGAAGGAAGGGAAATACTCTCAAGAACCAATGAGAACTCAAAGTAAAACAACCAAACTGCCAAAAGCGCGGGAAAACGCGGGCGACCAAGTTGTAATTGAGTTTTCTAGTTTTGTATCTGATTGGTTGAGAGAGTGGGGCGAGTTTTTTGGACCAATCACAGAGAAAAGTAAAATAAAACCAATGCAATCTCAGATTGCTTTCGACGCTCAATTGAAAACTACTCGAACAAAGAAGAAATTATCTTCGTTTATAACTGTTTTGTCTTTTTCATATGTTAGGTTAAACGCTATGAGGAAACACTACATCAATTTCAGAAAGACTTAGAGCGTGCACAAGAGAATCATAGGAATGCCTCAATGCAAGTTAGTGACATATTTAAGCCTCTCATTATCTTTGTGCAGTAACCGATTAGAACCATAAGCTAATGCTCTCATTTCATTGCTTTGAAGATTGGAAACCTCGAAAAAAATGTGCAAAACTTGAAAGTACAGCTTGCTGGTGCACACGGAAACCACAAGGAAGCCATGGACCAGGTAGATTGCTGTTTGTTTTTGTGCTTAAAATCTCTGTTTGCATTGATTGCATTTTGTATGCTTACTGACACAATTAAGCTAGAACCATAATTTCGTGTAATCAATATTTCTCAAATATTAATTCTGGGATACGCTTTTCATACTCATACATCTTTAATTAATACATCTTTTTATTACATATGGCCCTCACCTTCCCACCCATCCCACCCCAGGGGAGGACATCCATCACACAGTATTCTCGTGTGTGGGAAATTAACGTCTCCTACCCCAACCCTGCAGGAGACGGGACCTCCATTTATTCGTCCCCATCCGAGAAGACTAGAATATCTAACCATTTCTTGATGTTGTAGAAAGGTAGCAAATTCTTCTCAATTATTTTAAGACCTTGAGTGTTGGTCCGGCCGGGGCTCGAACCCTTGACCTCCCGCACAACAGTCTAGCGCACTATCCATTGGGCTATCTGGGCGGCGGAAAGTATTACCAATATCAGACATGTTGGGTTACATGTGATTCCACCGTTTTGCGACATTTTTTCCAGTCTCTTGACATTTGTGTAACACAAGAGTCTGTTTTTTTTTTTTTTTTATGTTTCCAGCTGGCACAGCGATCTAAAAGCTTAGCAAATGTCAAAATGGAGTTAGCAACGACAAAGCAACAGAACCAGGCTATGGACGAACAGGTAAATAATTTTTATATTTGACTGTAGCTACAGATTCTTTACATGTAGACTAATTACTGCCCTGTTACGCAAGCAGCTTCCTAGCTGTCAAATTCTTACTTTAACAAAGGAAAAATTAAGTTGGGAGCACTCGAAGCCCCCCCCCCCCCGTCCCCCACCCAAACAAAAGACTTTCTCAAGTTTCCCTTAAAACAATTCCCATCGATATTCGTGTGCACCGTGATAGCAAAGTTTCCTACTCACGAACATAACACCATGACCATTGATAAATCTCGAGCCCAGCTCTTTCGGTCTGTAGTCCAGCCGCGTTGATTATTGGGTTACCGCGTCTTCCAATCAATGCTCGTTCTCTTACTTTATTGGTAACACCTTTTGTGATCCTGTACGCCTGTTTGCATAGATCTTAGGGTTGGAGGAAAAAGTTCGGAAATTAAAGACGGACTTGAAGAGATATCAGGACAAAACCAAACATGCTGACGGAGAGGTAAGTAAACTTGGACTGAGGCAGGCTGACTGACCAACAGACTAACTGACTGACCGTTTTACTGACTCGTAAACTAACTGACTGACTGTATGACTGTCTAATCGAATTTGTCGCTGATTTTATAAGTAAGTGGCTGACCTGGGACTCTGAATAGATAACTGATTGGCTCGCTAAATGTTTTGTTCAGTAACTTGTCCGCAAGCTGATAGAAGGTCTGACTTGACGAGAGATCGATTGAGTTAATCACTATTTAATTTACTGTGCCTAATGTGCGGTGGGCTTTCTGACTGACTGACAGATAGACAGACAGTATCTGATGGACTGACTACTGGCCACAAGAAAGACTGACCGACCATTGATTTTTTTTTTCTTTTAAGATCCAACAGTTCGCTAGGAATATGGACGAATTAAAAAGTCAGCTTGGGATTTCTCAAGACAAACTTCACAAGCAAGCTCAAGAAGCGGCTAGAAGAGATGAACAGTTAGTGGTTCTCAAAGTTGAGTTAGCAACATTACAGGAGAAAGATCGCCTTATACAAGATGAGGTACTTCAAAAATTTCCCTTCAGCTCCCCAGAATGAAAATAGGCAATGAGAATTCGAAGAATGATATCAGTGAAAGCGCGGGACATGCAGATTTAGTCGGACGAATTGAGGTTAAAAATTTCCATCAGTTTGTTAGTGTGGACAGTTTCTTGACTAACATTAAATACTCAGTAAACATATTTGTAGAGCTTTCGAAATAATGAAATGATATAACGGTGTTTAGTTATCTAAGTGTGCTTCGTAGAGTACAAATAACGCGCGAGACGAGTACAAACTCGTTGTTTGTATTTTGACTCGCCCTACGGACTCGTCAAAATGCGGCACAACTCGTAAAAATACTCAGCGATACTACACAACAAAACGTATAGTAAGATATATATTTTGTATACGAGGGAAACCCTGACCCTGTACACCCCAAGTAATCATACTTGAATAGAATAAATGTTTGAGAAGAAAATTTGCCCTGAGCGGGATTTGAACCCACGTCCCCCTGTTACTAGTCAGGTGTGATGACCACTACACTATCAGGACAACCATGCTGGCAACACGGCAATCGAGGATGTGATTTACGTGATCGGAGACGTGGTCTCCCGGGAAGCTTAATTTTCAAGGTGACAGGGTAGGGGAAGCCCATAACCCCATATAAAACCCAACTAACGATCTATTAAAGATACGCGACCGAAGTCAACTTAGCGGATGACAAAGGAGGATCCAATCACGGATACAGGCTAATTTCAATTAAATGAATTCTGTATACGAGAGAAACCCTGACCCTGTACACCCCAAATAATCATACTTAAATAGAATAAATGTTTGAAAAGAAAATTTTCCCTCACTTCGGTCGCGTATCTTTAATAGATCCTTAGTTGGGTTTCATATGGGGTTATAGGCTTCCCCTACCCTGTCACCTTGAAAATTAAATTTTCTTTTCAAACATTTATTCTATTTATATATATATATATATATTATTAGCTAACTTCAAATATTTTGTCTGTGATTCAAATCGAACTTTGAATTAAGGCCTTTACGCCGTTAGGCGTAAAAATTTACAAATTTTAACCGTTAGTCATGAAGATAGTTAACCGATAAAAAATTTTCTGGTGACAACACTGGAGAGATGTTGACTGCTAGCCATAAAATGGCCAAAATTGTAACCGTTAGCTGTTAAAAACCATCGGCAGTCACTTATGGAAAAAGTCATCGAAACCGCTGGAGAAATAAATCAATTATGAGATGTTTTTTTTTTTTTCTTGTAGAATGACAAACTCAAGCAAGAATTTCACATATCTCGACAGCAGCATCAGAGCTGCATAGAAGAGGTAGGCGTCAAAGACGATTATTCATACCAATAAGTATGTTGTGAGTTTTGATGGCACCATGGTCGTGAATATAGTTGTGAAATTCATTGTATGTAAGTCGTTTGTTATGAATTTCAGTATTTCTACTTAACATGAAATATAAAAGCTTTGCGAAATGCCAAAGCTAATCTCAATTTGTTGTTCATTGCCTGTAGTTTTCCAACCGTAAGGGTTTTTTTAGAGTAGAAGTGTTAATCAAAGAGCAAAACCTTTTACTTCAGCAAGGTGTTTTTCATTGACCAAAAGATTTTGAAAATCCTTGTTGAGCTATTTTTGCGCGTTCTGATGGAAAATTTTGAATCGATTCAACGTCCGGAATCTTTTGATGAATGGAAAACGCCTTGCTCTGGCTTGAAATCCTCTCATTTTGGCAGTAGTCACAAATTTCTCATCAGAA